CGTGCCGTTTAGCGACCGAATCACAAATATCCTCGGCAATTCTAACAAACTGAATATGCTCAATAATCTACTGAATATATCACATGAAAATGCACGAGAATAACGAACTTAGTATATCGAGCAAGTAAGTACGGCCCGTGGTGCGCTACGTGCGCAACCACGTCACCCTTGGCCGTAACATCGCAAACGTGACTTATCCTCCGAACAATTCAAATATAATTGAACATGACTTACTGAACATGATATCACATAATTAATCGGAGAGTTGAACTAACATGCAATAGCACGAGAGCGGTCCGTGGTGCGCACTAAGTGTGCGACCACACCTCTTCGACCGAAGCACCACCTCATGGCTAATTATCCGAACATAATGGCTAATCTAAGCATGATATTGCAAATAAAGCTAAACATGCAAGAATGGTTCGGAGAAATAACTTATAACATGACATGGTAGGCACGGCTACGGTTACGGCTACTCATAACTCGCATGCATGCTACTAATAAAATTAACTTAATGAACATGCTACTCTCGGTCAATAGTCGTCGGGAGTTACCTCTTGATAAGCCCTAGGGACTAAACTTCTCGAACTCCCGTGCCCTCGGCCGTGACCCTTCGCGTGCGTGCGTGGTTGTGCGGTAGCGTGCGGAAGCTTGCGGCTAACCGTGCGGTACTTGGGCGTGGCCTTGCTTGTACGGCGAGCGTCGTGCGATAGCTACTAGCCGTGCGAGTAAAATAGGCTAAGATGTTTTGCTGAATTTTTTCTAAGTGTTGGGAAAATAAGCTTGAACTTTAACATGTGGAGAGGGTGAAAGGAAAATTTTACTAACACCCTAACATATAAAAACCGAATGGGTATAAAGGGTGAGGGAGAGAAAGATGGACAAATGCTAAGGACACTTGGCAACCATGCACACCTCTCTTGGCCTCACTAATGGTCACGTGAATATGCCACAAAAGAAGAAAAAAAATGCTTGAACAAAATACCAACATGTGCTCGGCATTTGGAGACAAAATGCACACCATTTTCCATGGCATAATGGAACAAAATGGGAGGAATCTCTTGAACATTGACTAGCAAAAAAAAAGACAAAGGAGGGCACGGCTTCTAAGGACTATGTTGGGAGGAATCTTGGACACCTTCCCCACGCACATGCACACGGCAATTTAGCATGAAAGGACCAAAAGTCACTAACACTACACCATAACATATATATATATATATATATATATATATGAAGCACACGGCAATTAGCATTAAGCTTGGATTAATAAAAAAAATCTGAACACTTAAGCTACTAATCTCATGATTAATATAAATTAATCACTTAATTATGTTTAATTATCCAATTAAACATAATGCTTAATTACCAAAATTATTTCGAACGTAAACGGTACGTCGAAAATATTTTCCGGTAATTTCAACTGAAATAACTAAAAATACTTGCTTCCGAAAAATAATATCGGAACTAAAAAAAATATAATTTATACTGATAAATAGTCGGGATATTACAAATAATGGCCGCGTTTTTCTCTCTATACATTCTCTATGGTTTCTTCCCCTGCGATACCCTGCTATTCGTCATATTCTCGGACTACCTGGGAATCTCGGAGCAGAGCGGTTACCATCAAGCTCAGATGTTTCGCATCAACTTCAGCTTCCTTGCCTTCGGCTTCAAATCCAAAAGTGGTGGTCACTAGAGAGCGCGCCAAAAACACCAAACTCATCGATGCTTTGGTAACTTTATATGTACTAAATTATTTCTAGGTTTAACGCTCGATTACAATGCCTGTCGTATGATATTTTGTTTTTCTCTTTTTGTTAGTTTTGGCGTGTTGTAGTTATTGACAGGATTGTAGCCCACTAGTCTATGCGGCGAGAAAAATATGCTTATATTCTGCATTACTCTTTAGTGGGTGCAAAATATTGAGAAATTAGAAAAAAAAAAAATGGCAGTTTTTGACAGCAAATTTTACTGCGAGGCAGAGCTTGTATTACCACTAGATGAGAATGTCATGCGTGTAAGGAATGTTTCGAAAACTTGACCATGTTCTTGAATTTTGATGCAGCATCCTTCCTTATTTCTAGGTACTGAGCCTAGATTTCTTAGTGGGAGTGGGCATCATTAATTTTTTTCATACACTCGATTAACAACTTTCATGCATTTATAGTAAGAGCAAAAATCATTTTTTTAGATAAGGCTATAAGCCCGTTTTCTTTATGTTTTGCATCTGAGTCCACTTGTCCTAATTTGAAACAGAAATCATCTATTCGAATCAGGAACCACCAAAAATGCATGACAGAAAAAAAAAGAGTAACCTTCGAATTAGATGCGATATAATTTTTTAGTATATAAATTAATATGTAATGAAGATTCTTACAACAACAACAACAACATAGCCTTTTTGTCCCAAGCAAGTTGGGGTAATGAAGTTTCTTACGCCTTCATCTTTTAGCAAGTTTCGCTATGATAGTCGCTCATATGATGCATCATCTGAGTGACGTAACTATTGAGAATGTTCATTGATATGTTGAAGCTTGAAGTTGAAGTTTGCAGCAGTGGAGCAACTTTATTTCATTTTGTATTTTTGATATGTTAGTTGACGTTTTTTATTTTGCAGCTCAAAGTCGCGCTTAGTTTTTTTTTCTATGCATTTTTACTTTTCTAGTTCATAGTTTATTGGTGTCGTTTGAGATAGTGGATACAACGCCCTTTTGTTCTCGAACATGCCTGCATGCAAAATGTGTCTATAATCCACATTTGTATGTATTTTGAGTTTGATTTTTTAGCTAAGAAACAGAGCAAAAATGGAGATATTTTCCTTCCCAAATTCATCTTCGATTCAACATGGTATCTAGAAGTGATCCTGGGAAGGTTGATCGCATAGCTTGAATTGAAATCAAAGGAGCTACGATTTTGCGATTCAAGGCTTTAATGGAGAATCGAAGGACAAATCCATGGCCGCTTCTAACTACGAACACAAATGCAAAAACGAGCTTGAAGATGACGGATTCAGATCCAATGAAGCTGTATGATGCTTGTTTCAAATAAGTTACCATGAAACAGTTTTCTGTCATGGAAGCGGTCGATGATCATAGTTTTGGGTGCAAACACAAAACTCGGTTTTATCAGCGGTGAAGTATTACAACCTGATGTTGATGATGAGAAATATGCCGTGTGGAGGAAAATAGATTGGATGGTGTTATCGTGGATCTTAAATTCTCTTTCTAAAGAAATTCCAAAGTCCTTTATCTATGAAAATTCTAAGGATTTATAGAAAGATATATGTAAAAGGTATGGAGAGAATAATCGACCTATGAAGTATAAACAACAAAGAGATATTTCAAACTTAACTAGGGAACAATCATGGAGTATTTCAACAAACTCAATGGAATGAGTATGCTTGTAGTTGTATTTTATAGAACCAAAACAAGTACGTTGTTGTGAAAAAGGGAAAATGGCTGCACAATATGAATCAAAGAACAAATTGACTCAGTTTGTAATGGGATTGAATGATAGATATGAAAATCTAAAGAATCAAAACATGCTTTTGGAGCCTTTTTTGCTGTGAATAAAATAACGCTTGTTCAAGTGTATTAACTGCTGAAAGACAAATGGCAGTTCAAAATGCTTGTAGTGATAAAATGGATAATGCTGCTATGTTAGGAAGGGAGGAAGATTTCGGAAAGGGTATAACAATCAGGGAACATGAGACAATGGAGAAAAAAGATCTAACTATGGAGGGCATTGAACTATGGGAAGAGGTAGTGGAGGAAACAGACTAAGCAAAGCCAGACTTTTGTGTGAGAGTATGAATGGACACACTATTGCAACCAGTTTTAAGGTGCATGAGTTCCAGAATGGTACAAGGAATTGAAGCAGCAACAAGGAAGATCATACATCAATAATGCTGAGGTGTGAAACCAAGAAGATCAAACAAGACGAAAGGGAAGCTTCAAAGATTCTAAAAGGGAAGGTTCAAGGATTCTAAGGAACTTGATTTGTCCTCAGTAATTCAGCAATTGCAGGAGCTTACTCAATATGTAAAAATGAAGGAAGAGGAAAAACTAAAATGGATTATGCACAATTGTGAGTTTTGCGGTGAGGATGGAACACAAAACATACATTATGCTTAGTCAGCTGTAAGAGGTGTGTGGTGATAGATGGATGATTCACACTGGTGCAAGTAGACACATATGCAAAAATGAAAAAGATAATTTAAAATAGGGAGAATTGCCTATAAAATCACCACATTTACTTAATTTGCAAAAAAAGCTCAAGGTTTTCATTTTGGCATAAAAAATACCAACCTTGTTTAAATTTTGCAATTGTATCTCCAACAGAAATGCCGGCCATAACTCAATGACGTGGCAATCAGAAAAATGACATGGACCTCAAATGGAAGACTTCCTACCACGTCATCAGACACGTGTTTTTTGCACATCACATTCGGACCACGTCACCATCCACGTCATTTGAGTATTAATTAGAAGAATCCCAAACAATTTCTTCCCCATTTTTACGAATTCTCACAGAAAAAAGAAAAAAGGAACGAGATCTTCTCCCTTCTTCTCCAGCGATTTCCTATCCCTTCTTCTCCACTCCAGCGATTCGAGTAGTGCAAAATCATGTCGTGATTCTCCTCCAGCGATTCTCCAGATCAGGATTGGTGAATTTTCTTCGAGCCACCGAACGGGTAAATGTTCTTTCACTAATCCTTTTTTTTTTGGGTTCATATTCTTTTACATATGCATAGCTGATGTTGTTTGAATCTTTATACTGAAAAGGAAAAGCCACAACTGATATAAATAATTATTTTATTTTATTTTGAAATATCCACAAAAAATGGGATGGATTTGAGTGGATAATGGGTAGTTTGAAGGAAAAAAAACAAAATTATGATCTTACAAAATTGCACAGAGGAAATCTTCAAGTAGTGAACTCAATTTTTTGCCGAAGAATGAAGACCGGCGAGAGAGAGCGGCGCGATCTTTGTGTGAATCGCCAGAGAGTGGCGAGTATCTGTTCTCTTTTTATGAATTTTGATGCTCAATTTAGGGATTCTTCTAATTAATACTCAAATGATGTGGATGATGACGTGGTCTGAATGTGATGTGTAAAAAACAGGTGTCTGATGATGTGGCAGGAAGTCTTCCATTTGAGGTCCATGTCATTTTTCCGATCGCCACGTCATTGCATTTCTGTTGGAGCCACAATTGCAGAATTTAAACAAGGTTGGTATTTTTTATGCTAAAATGAAAACATTGAGCTTTTTTTGCAATTTAAGTAAAGGTGGTGATTTTATAGGCAATTAACCCTTTAAAATATGTAGAGGTTAGATGGCAATAGTGGTATGTTTACCTGATGGTATATTGAAAGATGTAGCAAGTAAGGGTGATGTGATGATCAATAAGAAGATCTTCTTATTGTTCCTGATGGGTTGTTTGTGCCACCATTTGAGTATAATTTGTTGTCAGTGATGCAAATGTGTGCAAATGAAAGGGTCAATTGGACTTTCACTGGATTAAGTTGTTGTTTACTGGACCTAGAGAATGATGGGAGACTTGGATATGGAGAGCTGATGAAAATTGGAAATCCTTACATTTGGAAAGGAACGAATATAAGAAAGGATTGGTTGTAATCTTTCCCTGGAAGGGTGGCATAAGAGTTTATGGCTTGCTTCTTTTATATCTTTGAACATTTGGATTTTCTTATAAGAGATTGTAACGAAATAAATGAGAGGCTGTTGCACTCTTGTGATGTTTGTTTCATAGCAAAACAACACAGATTGCCTTTTCTTAGTAGTATCAGGCTAAACTTTGTTTTAGGCTAAACTTTGTTTTGAACTGGTTCATGTGGATTTATGGGGGCCTTGTAAAGAAGATTCTCTAACCAACGCATTTTAGTTTCTTGCTTAGGTTGATGACTATAGCAGAGGTACTTTGGTTTTTCTCTTAAAGGATAAGACACAAACATGAGCAATGTTACAGTCTTTCATCTCAATGGTAGAAACTCAATATGATTGCAAGGTTAAGAGACAGACAATAGAAGAGAAAGGAGAATATTGCATGAATCTACATGTATTCACACACCACACCGAAATGGTGTAATTGAAAGATAATTGAAAGAAATCGGTTCATAGCCACGATCAATTATATTAAAGATTAGGGTCAGTCTTTATGTGCGTTGGCATAATATTAAAGAAATCGGTTCGTAGCCACGATCAATTATATGTTGTTGTTGTTGTTGTTGTGTAAGTATTAGATAAGAGTTGTGCATTAATGACATGTTCTTACAAACATATGCTTTTTATCACGACCAATTGTATGTTATTGTTATGCGTGTACGTAATAGATAAAGAAAAGTTAAGGTCAACCTTTATTGTACGTTGACATGTTCTTACAAAAAACAATTTTTAGTCACATACATTTATGTTGTTTGTTTCGTGTGTAAGTAATAGAAAAATGTTGAAAATATTATTTGTGGGGACACGAGTTGCTCAGTTATTAAACAAATAATGTTTTGTACAATAAAGTTTTAAATAATATATTTTTTGCATGAGGAAAAATTTATGGTTTGACAACTCCCAACTATAGACAAAAAGCAAGAGAAATCGAGAGCTCCTCGCTTCACCGGCGGCTGGTAACAATTGAATGTTGATTAGTCGAGTTAGGGATTTGTTGCTTCCATGATGCGTTCTCTGACACCAAGGATAGTGGAGGTGGC